GAAAATAATCAAAGAATCAAATTCGCACATTAGCAAGTCGAGAGAGAGAGAGAGAGAGAGAGAGAGAGAGCCTGCAGTTGCAATGGATATAGGGATCCAATAAATCTAGCAATGATCCAAAAGGAGTGGTAAAAAGCCAATTCCAAATTTATTGGGAGCAAGGCTTCAAGGCCAAACAGCACTTTTCCAAATCCTTAATTTTGACTTCAGAAATATTCTTCTAATATTCAGGTAATATAACCTGATGATGGAGTTTGAAGACATTCTAAGGTTTTGCTAAAATCTTAGATGGGAGATCAACCAAGCACCTACTAATGGGTTAAGATTCGAGTGAACTTTTAGGTTTGGTAATGATGGTAGCAGTAATAACAGGTGCCTAATAAATTCAACCGACAGCACAAAACATATAGGAGAATGGATATGTACCGTAAGCCTGCACTACTGCACATTTATCCTAGTAGAGAATAAATAATATTTAAGAGGAGGGAACGAAGAGACGCAATTCAAATATAAATATTTGCAATAAGCATTAAACATATCTACTGATTCATAATGTTAAACCTAAACTCGTCTAAATGTTTAAGCTGTTAGAAAGGGGAACATATTTATTCATTTAAAATTTGCCTTCAACACACACTAACATGCAAGCAAGCTCATTTTTTATCAAATATTCGACATGTGCACAATTTTCATTAATGGATGGTGGTGAAACTCAAACCCAGATCTTTAGCCTGCTTTGATACATTTTTTTACAATTGGGTGAGAAGGGATTGGACATAAACTCCCAACCCCCCACCTCCCTCCCTTCCCCAACCCAAAAATTAAGATGTTAAGGTGAACTTAAAGCATTATACGAAACAAAAAGAACATCTACTCATTCAAAGAAGTCATGCTTAACTAGAATGAGAATGTTGTTGACAAGGAGTCGAATCATACCTTTGGAGGCCTCCTAAGAGTGTACACCATCGTCTTCAAGGATAGGACAAATACATCCTCATTGTATGACATAGCTTTCCTCTCCCCCTCCACCCCAACATATCGAGATTCATATCCAGGCTCGTTGAAAAAGGGCTTTGCATTCAAAATGAGAGCTTGAATAGACACCAAGACCTGCAGCATTGTTGATGACTTTGGCACCCACTTCTCATTTCCTTTACCAGTCCAAGTGTTAAGAAGGCTGAGACAGACTTTTCCACAGTCGTACAAGTTTGGGTTCAGTCGCAAGCCACCAGAGTAGTAGTAAACCATCTATCAAGGATCATTTCAAAAATAAGGGGTCAAGAAATGAGTTTCAAATATTTTCTTGACTTTCAAATATCAACGAAGCAAAAAGTAGCATCTAAGAAAAGTTGCCGTCTTGAAATACATACTGGTGGTATGTCTGGATAGGTAGGAGGGAAGAGAACATCAAAGACAAATAGACCATCATGGTAGGGAGTTCCCTGTGGTCCTACAATAACAGCCCTCAAAAGATCCATCCTTGATTCATAAACTCTTACGTAAATCGTATCTGTGAAGGTGGAGGGGATTACATGTAGTTCAGTGCAATCCTCAAAGATACAACAAGAGTTTATTGACAAAGAGAGCAACGTAGATATATGATTCACTCATATTTTATAACTGAGAAGCATATTCTGTACAAGTATCAGACAAGAAAAAATAAAACATCCAAATAAACACTGGTGGGTATTATGATGTGTAAAATTATAAAGAGAAAACAGTGGAAATTAGTCAAGACCAAATAATATCAACCAGTAATTTTCTTATGAACTAAATGCTTTGCCCATCAGGTTCCAGATCAATTTCAGCAGAACCTAAGAAGAATAAGTAGCCTGGATTGTTATTTTCTAAACGTCTTCCTCTTCAATTTAAAAGCTGAAACAAAATTGTTGAGATTTGCCTATTGTTTCCATGAAAAAGTCAAAAGTGACTGGCTAATGTTATCATCAACTAAAAATTTCAGCCTACTAGTGGGGAAAGACCTCCAAGGATAAGAGACATAGGGCTAAAGAGAGCAACAAAATTAGATTCAATCAAGATTTCCAATGAAGTGCACTACACTTGCACTCTGAAAATCATAAAAGCAATGCTTTTCAATATTTAATTATTACTTAAATGATGCAACACTTCTACTATGACTATTTAACAAGTTGGTTTTCCATTATCTAACTAATTATCCTACTACTCAAATATCTCATATTACATTACAAAACAAATTTAATGCACAAATTATATGGTTCACCATAAATCAATTGCTATAGAAAGTACAGATGAAAAGAGTTAACAATACTAGCTTCATAAGTTTTACATAAGAATTTAATCTTTGACTTCCACACTGCAGCCCGATGACTGCAAAAAAACCGTTATAGCTATCCAAGATTAATAGGGTCCAAATATTTTTGCCATAAACAAAGATTCTTCAACAGATTCTGTTGATAAGCTCCAGGATTAGATAAAAATGAAATATTGAGTGAAGATCAGAGTAGGTACAGACTTTTCACATGAAAATCTTTTTGGTCACTGAAACTGTAATCACTAAGTTTAGTCATATATTGTCAAATCACCACGTTGCTATTTTACTTGTACTTTATTCATCGAAAAATACAATACATATTAATATTTTATAGGTTAAACAACAATAATATAAATATGAACTTTGAGGGGTAGCTCAGTGGTCAAGCCTTGAGTTTGCTCTCTAATGGTCACCAGTTCGAGTTCCCTCAGGGTCACTGAGGTGAGCATCCGACTGTAAGCTTCAACGCCCCGTGGGATTAGTCGAGGTTCGCATAAGTTGGTCTAGGCACCCACGGTCATGAAAATAATAATAATAATATAAATATGGCACACATTTATATACAAAAACAGAGAGAAATACAACTTGAATAAAGATCATTATAATACTATTCAATTAGTTGTATATTTGAAGTATTCGTTGATATAAAATATATTCGACACATTTACTTTATAAATAATATGCTGCACTTATTAGACATGCACACTGAAAAAAATATTGAAGTTTTTTTAAATGATTGTTCTTTATTGAGTGAAAAAATTTCCGCACTTTGGGTGAAGATAGAATAAAGAAGAGTTGGGTCTAACTTTTTGAAGTTATCTACTTAAATTTCCAAACTCCAAAAATATTTAATCTACTAAGTACTTAAAATTATGTCATCAAGGGCAGTCTCAGTTATTTCAATTTTCAATAATTTGCAAATCATTTTCAGTAAAAAGTTCAAATAAACACTTAAATGCATCCCTTGCTACTATAGGATGCTCTCAAAATTTCTTTCCATTACATAATAAAGTTACTCCACAAAGATCATGAACAGAAAATAATATGAAAAAGGCCTGATAAGAATGGTAATACGGAGCCTAAAATTTGTTTTCTTTCTAACTTACCGGGCAAATCCTTCTCTAAAATTTTCCACTCTTCCTGAATTTTCTTGCTCCAGGCCTTCAGAGGCTACCAAGATAAGAAATGCTACAAACTTAGCATATACAAGTATGCGTGGAAGTTAAAATGACAGGCATGTTCACAAATATGACAAAATGCAAGATGTGCTTTCTATAACACGAAGCTACCTGTTGTCCTTCAAAGCCCGTTTTGTTATAGTGATGATCAGAACAATCACCAACAACATCAAATCGTTTGAAATCTAGATACTTCTTCATAACTTCACCTTTATTTTCCTCTTTTCCCTCATTACAGCTCGATTCTGCAGAAACTGACGAACTGCTTGAAGCAATGGCCTCAGTTTTGCAGCGGGGTGAAGCGGGAAATGAAGAAGCATGTACTGCTGCAGTTGCAGGGAGACCTACAGAGCCACCTTCCACTGGAACATTTTCAGGAGTTGAAGTATTTGAACCTGGAGCAGGATCACTTAACCAAGAAACCGATGCCTCCACCCCAGTAGGCAAATCCACATTATCAAATTGTGCCTGCAAAGTCGAATAATCATCAATGTTGTTGTCACCATACATATAGTCATCGTCATCACCGTAAATGTCGCAGTCATCGTCAGTTGCATCGTCACCATCATTGTCATTTTCCTCATATGACATGTCCGAATGTGAACCACTAAGGTTGTACGAGTTAATAGATTCAGATGCTGAACCAGCTACACAAGTAGAATTCTCGTTATCCATAGCCTCCTAGAAAGAGGGAGAGACAGAAAATTAAAGCAGGGATAGAAAAGACACTGGTGAATCCCATATCAATCACAGTACTACAAGAGAAAATTGAATAAGCACCAAAAGGAGTAATATGCATGCAAGAATGTACGCATATGCATAAACTTCATAAGGAGAGAAAATGATCGAACTTATAAACAAAAACTGAGGCATGTCCAGGAACTGAAGTGGCACAATTAATGGCCAAACCTGGAAGCAATGTCCTTCGACATTACAATCTACTGAACATGAAATGGAGCACCATTTTCACACAACATATTACTGATCTTAACAAAACAGGACAGAACCAGCCAGTTTGTCTGGAGAAAAAGAAACTGGTTGGTCATATGCTAAAAAGTCATATATACAAAAAAATGATGGAATTGGCTGTCTCCCAATTGTTTTTTCTTAGAGAGAACAAAATCTATGTTGAGAAGTGATTTAGCCTTGACATATATCATGCTATGTTGTTGTGAATATCCTTGACATAATAGAATCTCTTACCCTTCCCTTTACCTTTGTCGATTCAAGGGCTGGCTTAGTTTAGAAACATATTACATGCAATGGCTCACCCTTGTGGTAATTAGATATTAAATGTACTTATAAATGAATGATGGGTAGTAGTCTAAGAAGCATGAATACGGATACATAATTCGAATACAATATGATATGGTTATGGCGATATGACTTAAAAAAGGGGATACGCGGATATGTGTTATAAAATTCAACATAATTTCATTAATATAAAAAAAAAAAAAAAGCATAATAATAAAAATAAAATAAAATAATTAAACATTTCAACTTAATCCATAGTTGTCCAACTTCATTTTCTTCAACATCATCAACGTGAGCTTCTACTTTAGCATTAAAAATAACAACCTTCAACTCTAGCTTATCAAATAATAGATTAGCAACCTCAAGAAGTCCAATACCTTCAAGAATATTAAATGAATCACCGAAAATGTCTCACATTTTGGATTCTACTTCTAACTAGAGATCTAATTTTTCTAATAAAAAACCCAAATTTCTATGAATGAAAATCAATTCTTCAGTTCACTATGAATTTACTTTATTCCTTCTCATAGAAGAGTGCGTACTCCAATTTCTTTTAGAACAAGATGAAGAAGAAGGTTGCACAAGAAGTTTGAAAGCACTACTTCGAAGCAAAGATGCATGTAAACTATGACGACGCCTCATGATATACTGTGCAACGATAGTGTCAACTATCTCTTTGCCGATACTATATTCCACTCTCACATGAAGCATTGACATTGACTTTCATTTTATTCAACGACAAGATCAGAACGGCAATTTACATATCTTCCCATATTTCGCCCTTCAATCAAATTGTTAACACTCTCACCACACTACTAGCTTGCCTCCAGCTTCACTCACTTCAATCCAAGATTGGCGACACTCAGGATAAAAACATTATCATAAGGAGTGAGTGTAAATCACAATTTTTTAGATTTTATATTGTTGTAATCTTGTAAATTATGTAGTTCCATAAAGATCAACAGATACTACAATTGTCGGCCTTGTAGGTACATTTAGGAACCCCATTCTTTATATATTTTTTGACCTTTTTCCCAGTAAACACATACATACGAATTAACACTATTAGGGCCCATTTAGTAGTGATTTTGATAATTAATTTTTTGACCGTCAGGAGAAAAGCGGGGCCGACGGTGAGTGATGAAAGTAAAAAAATGACGGCTGGAATAGTAAAATAACGGTGAAAAAATCAATTTTTTGGAGGGGGGGGTGAAAAAGCACTACCAAACAGGGCTTAGTATTTTCTCCAAGTGCCTTTTTAAAATGGTTTAGAGCACACCTTATTTTGATCAATTATTCGTCGAATTCACTAATTTTCAACTCAATTTCTCAGATTTCATATTGGCACAAAACCCCAGAATCTCAATTACATAACTGCACAAAAAAAAAAAAACAAAAAACAAAAAACAAGCCCACGTAAATACAATTAAAATCCGACAATCATGTTCAAACCTTAAAAAACGGAAAAACCAATCACCAGGAAAGCGATCGATCATGCGATGTCACAATCAAATTTTCATCAAGATATCAAAAACCCAGAAATCAAAACTTTCAATAATGAAAGTTTGGTTGCTTGACGGTGGGGGCGGGGTGGGGTTAAGGGTACCTCACTCTGTTGAAGCTTCTTCGACACAGAATCTTGTGAAGCCAATTCTCCGATTTCAACGTCCATTGAACTCTCGATCATACAGATAGACTTCTATTACCTAAACGAGTACATACACATCAGTACTAAAAGGAACTGCAGATAAAAGAGAGAGAAATTTGCTACTCTCTCACGCCTTATTAAGGTAAGTTTTCTATCGTACGCTAGAAGGGGAGTTAACTGTTCCAATAGTCACTCAATTTAGATCTATCTCTTTAATTGGTCACTTAATTTTAAAATGTCAAATTTTGATCACTGAACTTTAGAATATAACATACATTACTCATTAGCATAACTATTGAACTTTAAAAAATATCGAATTTATAGTAAATAATATACAATATTTTTCAAAATTCATTGAGTGATGTACAATATTTTTCAAGTTTAGTGGTATAAACTCGACATTTTAAATTTTAGTGAGAAATAAAAAATATGGACCTAAATTCAGTAATCAAAATTTAATATTTTTCAAATTCAGTAATCAAAATTCGACATTTTAAATTTAAGTAACCAATAAAAAATATGGATCTAAGTTCAATTAACTCCGAAAAGGAAAAGTTTTTAAGGGTACAATAGCTTACAACTGACTTTGGGTACTAATATTCAACGTGGAAGTAGATCATTGGATAAGAGGTGAACGGACCAATATAAAGGGAGTTGGCTGGTTGGTTGATTGGTTTATATGGTGGGGTTGAGATGTAGGATATAATTGGTGCAGAATTATGGTTTTGTATTGTCATGACTTGAAGATGACTAGTATTCCAATTTTGCCCCTGAAACTTTATTGAATTACAAATTTGCACTGAATGTGACATATTAGTCAAACTATGGAAGATCCTTTTGTTTGCTTTGATTCGAGAACGTGTTATTACGGTGTCAAACTTGCTGGAGTAACAGATAATTTGGACAGAATTTTGGTGACACGCCATGTGGCGCCCCTCCAATGATAATTGGGACAGAATTTTGGTGACATGCCTGTTTGAGTAGTTTTATTGAACCTTCACATATATACGTACTTCTATCAATTGAAATTGCCAGGAATCATAGCCCCACAATCTACATGAGATTCAACATAATGGACGGCCTTGATTTTTTACTCAAAAAATATCACAGTGATAACACCGTAAAGTTTAATCCCTTGTGACCAGGCCCTGTCACCCAAGAATAACCCCTGAATACCCAAATAAAAGTGACATCTTCAAAGGATTAGATTGAAAAAAATAAACAAAGTCATGGTTTTAAGATTTAATTATCATTAATCAAATTATTAAATTGTTCTAAAAAATTCTGGTGTTTATTATATGTAAAATATATTTTTTAATATTTTTAATCTTATTTCATGATATAATATATGTTTAGTGAGTAATTTTGAATTTGAAGATTAATCGTCATTTTTATCGAATTTCAAAATCATAAAATCTGGATAGAGAAAATAGATTATTAATAATCACACAGACCTTTGATGTTCTCATTCTCTTGCTCTTTTGAAGCCTTCAGTCTTGAAATTAGGCCATTCTCACGCAAAGTTGTAATTTTCAAATAGACCCGCTTTAGATTACAATAAAAAAGACATGAAGTCACAAAATAGTGTCACATATTTGTGAATGGTTGTCATAGTCACAATATTAAAAGTCACAATCACGCAACATAGCCACATACACATAATATATTATATAAGATTTTCTCATTCTCTTGCTCTTTTGAAGCCTTCAGTCTTGAAATTAGGCCATTCTCACGCAAAGTTGTAATTTTCAAATAGACACACTTTAGATTACAAAAAAAAAAGACATGAAGTCGCAAAATAGTGTCACATATTTGTGAATGGTTGTCATAGTCACAATATTAAAAGTCACAATCACGCAACATAGCCACATACACATAATATATTATATAATTTTTTAGGTCAAATTCACAACATCATAGGTCACAGTCACACAATGTAATAGTAATCTTCACAATGAAATGACATTTTTTCGAAAACATGTATCTTATGTCACATTTTAAAATTGTATATACATATTTGAAACTATAACTTGTAACAGTTTTGCGATTGAGAGCCACAGTCACACCCATAGGTCACAAATCACCGTCATAATATTCTTACAAAATGAAAATATTGTCATCGATGCCTCTGATCGAAAAAATTGTTCACAAAAAGATTGATTAGTTATGTGATTCACCAATAGATGAAAAAGGATGCAGAAATTGTGGACAAGAAGGAAATAATTATACTGGATCAACCACGTTGAAAATTTATGGCCAATTTTTTCATCTATTCTAGACAATCATGCCATGGAGGTCCAAGGTTCTATTTCCTATTTTAGGATTTGTAAGAATGTTAGCAAAGAAGAAAATTAATTTTCTTTTTAGGAAATGATAAGACGAATAATTATCAATTATCATACATATATATAATATTTTTGAAAAAATTCTATAAATTTAATGTTTTTGAAATTTTATTTTTAAAGTACGGTAATTATGAATTGTTCCTACTACAAATATGGTAAAAAAGTCTAGAAAAGACGACATATTTGGGATGTATTTATAGATGAAGAAAAAGACAAACTGATGTACACATTTACAACCCTCTCACAAAATGTGGGGCTCACGATTATTTTAATCGCTGGTCCACCCCTCTAATATGAGATGACTGTCATAGTTGCTGTCAAAGTAACTATACGTGTAGGATGTCTAATAGATGAATAGGCTTAGTAATCCCAACTTGAAGTTTCTCATAAACAAGATGACAATCTATTTTATTATGTTTTATTCACTCATGGATAACAAGATTTGAAATGATATGGATTGCCACTTGATTGTCACAAACAAGTAAACCTACAAGAAGTTACCATCAACCACTATTGTGCTTCACTGGAAGGGCGAGAGACGGTAATTTGCTTTTTGATCATCCAAGATATAGGAGATTTCCAAGCAATAGGCAATATCTAGTGTGCCCAATTCGCATTGCAAAAAGCTTTTAGTTGGATTTGACTATTAGTCGATAATAATATCCGTGTGCCTAATGCCAGTACTTCTATGTCATGATGCTCTTAAATATGGGGTATATAATTTGTCCATAAATTGGCTCAACACATGTACAACATATACCAAATTGCCCCGTCTAATGGTCAAGTAAATTAAACGACCAAGAAACCTTTGATGTAAAGATGGATCTTTCAAAGGTACATCGAGTTCGTCAAGTTTCAAATTTTGCTCCATGAAAAGCTACGATGGTTTAGCACACACAAAAAAAGAAAAAAAACATATCCCCTCTATAATCTCAAGCGCATATCTTCCTTAGCAAAAAACACTTCAAGTTTACAATATCCTTAAGTTTGAGTCAATTGCTTAAAAACTCCTTCAATATTCTTGTATTTTTGGAAAATCATTCCCTACTATAATCACATCATTCACGCATACATAAGAAATAGTAAAGCTCTCTACTTGAGCACATATGAACAATGACCTCTCTTCTATGATTGAAGCATTCAAAGAACATTGGACAACTATTTTCAAGGGAAACTTCATCATGGTCTCTTCTTTGGTTATCATTCTCTCTTTTTATACATGCACTTTTCGACACATATTGGGATTGAAATTCTAATGAGCGAACCTCTACCAATGCATATGTGGGGTTCTTTGGTTGCAATCCTATTTCAAAGAGTTCCAAAAAGCAACGATCTCTAGCTCGTTCCTGAACTGAAGTTGAATACCGTGTTGTGGCATCAAAAGCTTATAAACTCATTTGGGTCGATTCTTTACTCAAGGAATTAGGCGTTTCTTTATGTCAACAAAAAATATATATTGTGATAATGTGGCCACAATGTTCTCTGTACAAATCCTGTTTTCCGCTCTCGCTGTCGCTTGAAGGATATTCCAATATACTTCCAAGTTGATTTAGATAAAATCCATAATAGAAAGCTCTGAGTTATCATGTCTCGTCTTATGATCAACTAGCTATTTGCCCCAGAAAATAACATCTCGAGGGGGCATGATAAAGATATACAAATTGATAAAGATGTATAATTAGATTTAGGGATCAAGAAATGCTTGTGCTAAATCTGTCACCTTACCTTGAGGAGTCAAATTGTATATTGGCCCCGTTGGTACACATTAATGTAAAAATGAGAATGAAAAATATAGTCGTTATGAGCTCCACAAAAGAGATAGAAATTCAAATTTGGTGGTTTGATGTGATGGATGACAATCATATTTTTCATTTAATGAAAAAAATGGGAAACAAACAGGGGCATTGTGTTTATATACACGAGTAAATATCACTGTTGCAAGTGTGACTTATTTCAAAAGTTTGTTTTTGGATTTTGACTGTCATTCATTAGACATTAGTGTCACCTACATGAAAATTTTATATAATCCATTGGAGAGGCTATTACGCATTATCCTTAATGTAGGCTGAGCGTGAATTGGGTTGGGTTACTATGATGTTGCTCAAGAGAAGGAACATTGACCATCAAGTTTAAATAAGTATTTGTCAATAACTTGAGTGGAGAAAATAGGGAGATTCGAGGTCATAGTAATTTTAATTAATTGAGTTTCATAAATGCATGATAGTTAAAAGTTTCATATTTAGTTAGTCATCAAACTTGATTTACAATTATCAACCTCCATAAAACTGTGCTATTTCGATTAAAGTTAGCATTAATCAAAATTTAATTGAATACACAGTTTTCATGGAAATGATTTTTTATTCGTTCTTTATTATTTATTTATGATATTGTATACTTGTAAAATTTTAGCGAACACTCATAATTGTGCATAACAAATGTCTGGCATGAGGTTTGTGTCCTATCCTTTTAGATACTCATTTTTAACTATACATTCATACACCAAAAATTTTTACACGTAAATTCAAAATTTTTACATACATCTTAACCACACATTCTTCAAAAATTCATTATTCAAAACAATGTTTTTCTAAAAAAAAATGACCACCAAACAAGGGCTTATTATATTGATGACATAAATCTATATCTCATGTGAACTCATTTCATTTCAAGTTATCTTCGTTTTAAAGGTATTTAGCCCTTGTTTAAGCCTCATTTTTGTTGTAAAAATGTAGTTTTGAATAGTGTATTATGTGAAATGTATGGTTAAAAAATGAGAAAAAATTTTGAATTTGTGGATAATATTATTTTATTGAATAATGTGTCATTAAAATCATGTCTAAACACTCTTTAAGAATACATTTTTTTCTAAAAAATGAAGATTAAACAAGGGCTTAGTTCAAAAGAATATTGTCATATATTGGTGTTTCGCACCCATTTATGTAACAACGTTAAATGGAGGGATGTGAAATCCATTTAATTAATTGTAACCCCTTATTTCATGAAAATTATAACTTTCATAAAAAAATTTATCACAAATTTCACCAACTTTTAAAAAAAAAACAATTTTTTTCCCCAAAAGCTCTCTCAAACGACCCCTTGGATGAAATGACCCAAGTGGCCATCTCTGCACTCTGTAATTAAAACCTATCAATTTATTTTTTATTCTTTTTTATCACAAATTTCACCAACTTTAGTCCTGTTTGAGCCACTTCTTTGAAAAAAGTACATTTTTAAATAGTGATTTGATATCATTTTAACTATATATTTTTTAATAAAATAATATTACATATAAATTTAAAATTTTTCTTTATTTTTTAATCACATATTTTCTATCAATACATATTCAAAAATATATATATTTTTTAAAATAATGTAGCTCAAATAAGGGTTTAAAAAATATATATAATAATAATAAAATAAAAAAATAAAATTTCAAAAGCTCTGTCGAACCACATCTTGGATGAAATGACCCATGTAGGCCACCTCTGCACTCTGTAATTAAAACGAGAAATGGTGTTCACCAAACTAACCTGATGCTGTTCACCAAACTAACCGCGACGACTAACAAGCCCATGGTAAAATCAAAAGTGCATACCAAAGAGGGATACACATCAAATTCAAGCACAATCCATGGCAGAAAAATTCACAGAAGAAAAATCCTATTCCTCCATGTTACTCATAAATCTTATGAGTGAAAGAAGACCACGGGTTTGCCTATTTGTATCAGTTTACACAATTTTACTATCCATTTCTTTGAAATTTTTAGATTCTGTACTATCTTGGTGTGAATCGACCATGGTAAGGTCAACTGCTGTATCTGGGTGGTCAGTGTTGAGTGTATCGGTGGTTTTGGGGGTGGCATTTGGGGTTCTATCGGTGGTGGCCGCCTTGGCAGTGGCGGTACCGGCGACTCTGGTAACGTGGATTACAGTGCTCGTGCTTTTGACTTTTTGCGGGAAACCCAGAAGGGGTTTGGTGGTGGAGGGCAAGAAATTGACGGTTGAGATTATTGGGTTTGTGGTTGAGATTTTGATTAAAGAAGGGAATGTTGTGGCTGCAATTTGTGCTGTTTTTGGCTACTTTGTACTTGTTAGGACTAGTCGTAAGGAGGGTGGTGGCTTAGATTTTGACTTTTGAGTGATGAAAAATAAGGCTTTGATTTATGGGTTTTTCTTTTTTTGATGAAATTGAGGCTGGGGTGTGGTGCCTAGGCAATAGTCGTAGTCCTCGTAAGCAATGTTCATAGACCTCGATCAAACTTTGAAACTTGTGTCCATCGTACATCGAAAGGAATGTTCATAGATCTCGATCAAACTTTGAAACTTATGTCCATCGTAGATTGATAGCCAACTTGAAGGATCTTATTTGATAATCGTAGAGACTTGACGTGATCCAACACGGATTTGACCCTAGAGAAACTTTGTGGGCAGAAAATTGGAAATTTTGTAAGCTCTATGTGGGAGCTATCTAATTTTCCTTGTTTATACAATGTAATGTTGTGTAAATTTCTAGTGGTGTAATAATTGTATGTTGTAAAAGGAAGTGACAATATGAGGCCACAATATCTCTTGCTAAAGATTGTAGAAATGTGGTAGGAGCAAGTAGCTTATTGTTCAACTAATATTCCATTCTTATTTCTTTGGAGTTAGTAAATTTGGCTACGATTTCTATTATGGAGAATGAAAAAGTCGTGCATGCTTCTCCAATTTGATGATTTTTCTTCCCAAACATGACCTCATGGGAATATATAAAAAAAAAAAAATAATAATAATAAGATAATGGGCTATATTCAATCAACAATATTAATATGTTTATTTTTAGCTCTTGTTTGAGCCTCATTTTAATATAAGGATCCATTTTGGAATAGTAAGTTGATGAAAAATATGCACTTTAAAAAAAAAAAATTGAATTTGCATCTAATATTATTTTATTGAAGAATAATTGAAAAGAAAAGAAAGAAAAATACATTTTGAAAATAATGAAGGATCAAACACGGGCTTATATTTTATATTTGAAATAGAAGAGGGAGAGAGTCTTATATTAGCATGGTATGCTACAACGGTGTAAGATTTGGGTGTATTAAATTTTTCAGTACTAGTAGTATAATGTCAATTTCAAACCAGTGCAGCTTACGTTCAACCATTATTGAGCTATCACTTTGTAAAGGCTAAAGTTCTAACGTTGTGCTAGACGCATGAGTCAAGGGATAGTCTTAGGTAAATAGTTTTTATATGACATGCTTGTTAAAAAGTAACAAAGGCAGTCAAAGGTTTGTGTAAGTCGAATTGAAATTGCTCATCGAGTATAAAGGTAAAAAGGAGCTTAACTGTAAAACTCACGTAATAAGCAATGAGAAAAGTTGGCCATAGCCTTGGCGATTCAAACGAGTGGTCACTTGTAACAAAGGCAGTCAAAGGTTTGTGTAAGTCGAATTGAAATTGCTCATCGAGTATAAAGGTAAAAAGGAGCTTGACTGTAAAACTCGCGTAATAAGCAATGATAAAAGTTGGCCATAGCCTTGGCGATTCAAACGAGTGGTCACTTGTAACAAAGGCAGTCAAAGGTTTGTGTAAGTCGAATTGAAATTGCTCATCGAGTATAAAGGTAAAAAGGAGCTTGACTGTAAAACTCGCGTAATAAGCAATGATAAAAGTTGGCCATAGCCTTGGCGATTCAAATGAGTGGTAGTGACCACCAAAATTTTGGAATGGAAATGAACCAACCCAGTTGGGGTTAAAGGAAATAAAGATCCTAATTTCTATTCGAACGTGAGTAGATTAACATTTTTTTTAATATTAAATTCTCAAAATTTGCTTCCAAGTCATACCATAAAATCGTATTAAAATGCAAACATGCTAGAAATACAATACTTTGCACAACTTGATAGACAAGGTGGACAAGTGGTGGCCCCCTATTGGAGGGACGGCTGAATGTGCAATTATTTATAATCTTGTATAAGGACGTAAACATAATTGAAAATATCTTAAAATGCTTGAATGCTACTTATAAATACCATAAGTGAAAGGTTGGTGGTCAGAAGATAGACGAGTGCGTTTGATTGTTAATATTTTTCCATGAAAATTTACATTTTCATCCAAATTTCTATTTTTATATTGTTTGATTTACATTTTTCCCATGAAAAATATTTTCCTACTTTTAGTCAAGTAACCATATTTACCTCAAAACGAAGGAAAATATTTTATTTAGGGAGAGTAGGATTTTATAGGGGAGTCCTTAACTAAGATTTTAATGAATTTTCAAGGATTAATGAATTTTGTGAATATGAATAGATTCTTACAAATTTCATAAAAATCTCATCAAAAATGGTGAAATTTCAAAGATTTGATTTTATGTACTTCAAGCTTAAAATTCATCCAAATCTTTTAAAATTCTTCTATTAATGAAATTTTTATAAATTTACTAATTATTGAGGATACCTAAATTTTAAATGATTCCATTAAAATCTCAATTGAGTACACTTAAATTTTAATGAATTTAATCAAAATCTCAATTAAAGATATCTAAATTTAGAATGATTTTCAAAATCCCATGACAATCTCATTTGAGGCACCCCTTATTTTTCAAGGAATTCACTCTCATCTTCTCTCTCTTATTTATCTATCATCTCTCCTTCACCTATCAATAAAAAACGGACAAGTATAATATTTTATAGGTTAAAAATTAAATCAATCAAATAACATTTAATTGACAATTTTCATGGAAATAAATTATAGGCAATTTTCTTTCCATACAAATATCACACTTGCTGTCAAACGCACTTTTACTTGAAAATTGAAAATAATCTTGGTAAAATAATCTTTGCAATTGTTTGATTCGACCCACTTTACACTTTTAAGTCGAGCATCACAAGAACTTTTTAAAATTACCCTTTCCTTTTATTTTCGCATTATCGCATAGATGCTTGTTCTAAAGAAATCTTCTTGATATATCCTATGGATTAGACACTCATTATAACCATTTTTTTCCCCAGAATAACTAATTATACTCTTACGAAATCTATTAATTTTTTCAATCGATATGATGTATTCAGTAATGAATTAAACAAAATGAAGAGAAGTATGGTCTTTCGTTCTTGCCCAATGACTTGTGCTTGATTACTGAAATTAACAAGACAATTATTCCAAAGGAAGAAGATATGAAATATTCGGTCTAATTGTTTTTGGAACGATTCACTCTTTGGTTTAGGCTTTGCCTTTCAATGGAACAAAGTTAGGTTAAATTGCCTACCGGGGCACAGCTCAATTGGTGGATCAATCAATATTGGCTTGCTTCCAGCGGCAGGGTGGAGAGTTCGATTCCTGGTGGGAACTTGCGGCCAAAAATTTGGTATGGAGCAATCACTGTAGAGGAGGATCTCTTGTGCGCAGAAGTATACAGTCAATGGGGGGAACCTATGATCCAGTTGAGATATATCCCGCGATTTACCCCTCTAAAGTTCTAGGAGCATGGGTCTTGGAGGTCCAGGATTTAGTCTGGTGTAAGATGGGATACCTGGATATAAAAAAAAAAAAAAAAGTTAGGTTAAACCACTAATTCACCCTTTGCTTGCTGTCGGGGGCAATTGACTTTTACTTATGTTGAAGGTGAGATTTGAGCCTCTTTGTCTCCCACTAATGAAGAAATTATAAAATTTTAAATAGTATCTTTTGAAGAATATGTAGATAGAATTTAAAGGAATTTTATTGACTTGTGTGTAAAATATTTTATTGTGTGAATGTGTGATGAAAAATGTTACTGTAACAAAAAAATTTAATTTGTTAAAGGGTGACAAACAGGGACTTAAGCCCTCGTTGCCCCATTATTTCTCATTACATTAAATTAAATTTTTCACTTTCCTACTTTTAACAACACAATTTTCAATAAAATAATATTACACGTAAATCAAAAACTTTTTAACTATTCATTTTTCAAAAAAAAAATACTATTCATCTCATTATAATCTATAAATAATGGGGTTATTCAAAAATCCACGGGCAAATAAAATAGTTACAGGTAAGCTATAAGAACATTCTCTTTCTAAACACGGTAAAATCAACAAAACCCTGAAATTTGAGAATAATATGACTTCCCAAGCAACCAACTGCTAATTAATTGAATCCAGTAAAAGCACTCACTTAACAAATCAGCAACTTCGCACTACAAACCCGTTGAAGAACTGAAGATCCAATTAACTGAAATTACGATTTGCAGAACCAAAAATTGACCCAAACGAACAAAAATAAAACTTCGGGTTTCCTCTCTATATATACATATACGTTTATATATATTGTAGATTCAGAGTTGGAACACTCCAATTTTTTGATAGGAGATCTGAGTTTTTTTCCTTAGAGATGGAAAGTTGCCCATTAGGTTTTATCAAGGAACGGTGATTTGGTTGGTGATGAAGAAAGATAATTTTTGGTTTAGTTCTCGACTTTGACGATAAATAATTGGATATTTTTTAGCTACATCAAACAAGGGCTTAGTAAATAAGTTCATTTTGGTACACTCTTACTCAATATTTTACTTGTGAGTTTAGTGCAAGAGTTCCTAATTCCCCGTACAATCTTTTTTGAAGTCTTGAACTTTTAACTTCGTGAAATTAGACATATAATTCGGTTAAATTCATGAATCTTCTTGTGCCATTCTCTTAAAAAAAAAATGAAGAAGAAGAAGAAGAAAAATTAGAATGAGGAGATCTATCGCTCAAGTTCACCATCTCGATGAAGATAACTTTCATGTCTTGTGATTAGATGACATCAAGTACTAGCAACTATATTTCAATATGTTTCGCCTTGAAAGAATGAAGTTGCTATAATGCATGACTCCAATTTAACATTGACAAAAAATGTGTTCATCTTATGTTCGTTAATAGTGTATTAGAAAAAAATAGATGTAGTTAATAGTATCATCGTATTGCAATTAATATAATACTTTAAACAAAGATTGTGAAATGATTTTGCAAAGTTTAAGATAGTTCCGTTTCAAGAATTAGGGGACAGAAAGAAATTGTAATTTAAACAATGAATTTGTTAAAAGTAACAATTACCTATTATTAGAAAAAAAGAAAAAAAGTAAGAAAGATGGCATAATTGTTCTAATGGGACCAAAACTATGTACTTTTGGATTACTATTTT